AATCTTTATCATTTTCCTCTGCAGTAGATAGCACCAGGTGAGTGAGCTTGAAAGAGGGTCTTTGTGGTGAGAGGAGGCGCAGTCATTCCAGGGTCACGACCTTCTAGACAGCCCCCCCTCATTCCACATACAGGAAAGAAAGATTTCAAACCACCACCTTAGCTCTCGCCTGCAGGTTCTGTGAGCTCTGTCATCCACTGGAACTATGATTAAGACAGAAAACTTCTCCAGTGTAAGACTGTGGGGAGAGTAGCTCCTGGTTTCAGCAGGAGCTTCTGTTTTGAGTAATTTCAAGTTTACTCCCTGAGCAGCGATGATGCTGATGAGTCCAGCGACAAAACATTTTAAGAATTTTAACAGCCACGTTCGCAGCTGAATCAATAACCTGCGTTCTTACAATAGGAGGAGAAAACAGCCCCATTCTGTGCTGACACCGTGCAGTTTGCTGAGTCCGGTCAAGTCATTGTTGCAGTGTCACATAAAGATGAAGTGGCAGTTCTGCTGCAAGGGGCTTTAATTATAGCTGTTAACATGGGTTCATCAGTACAGTAGAACAGAGTGGTCTACACTAAATTAATATGAATACATTTATTCAAAAAATGTCAAAATATGAGACTGCAGGGGTCAGCTGATGATGCAGTGTCAGCTAAAGCAGCACTGATGGAAACGCACAGAAGAAATCACAGCCAACATTTACTTCATCCCACAAGTGCTGAGGGTCATCCTCCAAACATACAACACAGCAGAGAGCAGAGGAGCAATCATTCCACATTTATCTGCCACAGCAGCACTATCAGGTCTGCACCGATGTACAGCGGGAATACAATGTACAGCTCCACACATCCTCCCTCTCTGCTGCTGCTCGCACTGTATGCTGCCTTCGGCCGTCTGCTGGCACACACAATAGGCCTCTGTGTGCACGGCCTGCGGAATGCTGCGAGATGGCAGGGCAGTGGGATAGCTGCGTGGTGAGGATGGGGGTTGGTGGGCGAGGAAGGGTGTGGAAGCTCAGAGGATGAAGGAGGAGGAGGGGGTGTGTTGATTTGAGGGTAGGAAGGGAAGGAGATGGCAGTGACGGAAGGAGGGTGGTGTGTGTGTGTGCGCGGGGGAGGCTGATCTTTCACGACTGTACACGTGCACAGAGGCTCCAGGGGTCTAGAGGGTGTCCAGGTTTTGGCACAGTGACCGCAGCAGAGGGGGTGGCTGAGGGTCCTCTTGTGTACACAAAGACTGGTGACAGGAGGGTAGAGCAGCACCCACCTGAGGGACAGGACAGGACGGATGAGCCTTTCACAATGTGTCCTGTCCCTCATGAACAGCTGACTCATTTAGATGTCTCTGCTAAAAGAGAATCATGAGAGGACGGATGAGGGGCTAGTGGCTACAACACACGTGAAGTGCACATTTTAAAAAATCACTGCTGCTGTGACAAAAGGAAAAAAGCTTAATTCAAGAAATGACTGTGAATATGCAAAATAATCAAATAGAGGGATTTTATTTTTATTTTATTTATAATGCAACAAGACTAAACCGTTCTATAGGCCCCATGGGGACACTCACCACACACCTGAAAGCAAAATTGGTTGTTGGATTTAAAAAACCATGTGGAAACAACTTTTGCTATTTTCATCAGAGCAGAAAACATAAAGTTTGGCTTGTGGGCAGAGTCAGGGGAAGAGACACGTTATTAACTAATCAAAAGAGTTCATCCTGTGTGCAGGAGGCCGTGTTAGGACGTCCCAGCAGTTTTAAAGTTGTCTCCTCAGACTCAGACTTGGCCCAACTATCCTCAGATCAAGCTCTTCTTTGTCAGCTTCTCCTGGATGACACCATTCTGAGTTGTGAATAACAGGTGTCAGTGTAGCACCTTGGTTTTTTTTACATTTGCAACTATATAAGGATATTGTCTTGAGAATGAAAGTACATCTGACGTGGGAAAATGTTGAACAGAGGTCCACTCGTGGTTGTCAGGTGGGGGGAGAGAACAGGATCAGAAATAGAGGAAGACTCATCTTCTGTGGAAGATGTTTATCTCCAGGGTATTAAATCTGTGCTGAATTTCATGGCAGATTAGTGGATAGTTAATAAGATATTTCAGTGTTGGACCAACAACATGATTAAGATTACAGACAGACAGGAAAAAAGAACATGAACATATGTGACATGTTGAACTTTCATGAAATAATCCTCATTCACAAAGAAAAAAAGAAGATTTTGAGTTTATGTTAAATTGATGTGCGAAAATGTACAGATGATATTGAACTCATATGAAGCTGAGGTAGCACAAAGGTCTCATCATCATTCCTCTACTGCAGCAGAAAAACGTTCACTCTTAAAGGTCAGTAAATTTATAGAAAAACCATTTGACTAAATCAGAGCAGACAGAGATGTACTTCTACTCAGATTGAGGAGTGTCTGTGGGGTTTGTCCCTCAGCCGACTTTAGAGAGGGATCAATTCAGTACTGACAGAGGAAATGATTACTGTGACCACAAACTACATCTGGGTCCAAACAAAATCTGAACCTCAGATGAATAGATAGAGAGAAAGAGACAGACAGACACACACAGACAGACAAACAGATAGATACACAGATTCATAGATAGAGTGTGTGTGATGGAATTCCTTTCACCCTGGGTGGCGCAGGGATAATGGTTCTTTATCCTTTAATTGGAGAGATGCAGTCAACGATGCATTAAATCTCTAAAAGCATTTAACAGCTTCTGATCTGGGGCTTTGATGTCATCATCTTCTTTTTTTATATCTCCTTAAAATCAAATTATCACCACGAAGGCAGTGACATTTTCAGAAAGTTGGTAAATCTGAATCTGAAGTGTTTTAGGTATTTCAGTGGGTGGTGTGTTATCCTGAGTAAAGTAAGATTCAAGGCCCAGAGGACGTTTGGTGATTGAGAAACATAAGCATGCATCAATCCTATGAAAATGGCACAGTCACGTTGGTGTAATGTGGCCAGGACTGGCTGATAATGAGGATAATTAATGTGCTTTAAACTGCTCGAGCACTAATACATTTCTCCTACTGTGTTCATTATTACAACATTCTAATATAAATCACTGGCACTACATTAACTTTGAGTAAAGAGGGATTTTAAAATCAGCCTTCATCTTTCTCTTTTCACATTCCTGGATGCAGTTAACCAGGTAACCATTCTTAAATTCAATTGCAATAGTATTTTTTCTGATGAACACACTGTCTCTGTCACATTCCTCCAGTCTTCCTCCAGTCCCTGAAACTTGCCGTCCACAGTGGCCTCTAAGCCAGGGCTTTATCCAGACCTCCAGATTACTGAGCCTGAATCAAAGCACCAGGCCCGGTATGTTTCTTTTCCTGTGTGAGGTGGAGGGGGGAAGAGGTTAAGTTTGTGCAGGCTCGCTGAGTGCAGCAAGGGGGGCTTTCTCACACAAGATGGAGGATGAAGGGACAAAGGTGGCATTCATTGGCCCAGGAATGGAAAACATTTTCTCCCTGAAAACAGAGAAGCTACAAATGGCCGAGGTAGCGCGGAGAGGCCATGGGTTAGCATGCACCCCTTTTGAGAAGTCACATGCCTAGAAAATGCAGAGGGAACCTGCGAGGCCTCGTCTGTTTGCTAATGAAGATAATGCCATGTCATCACGTAAAGTCTGCAAGGGAGTGGATACGACACAGTCTGCAAGAACGAGACACGTAGAATGTGAATGTTTAGCGTGAGTGAAACCGAACATGGGCGCGGAGGCTTATCGTCGGGACCATTTTCCGTGTATTTAAACTGTCTTCATGAGAACTGGATTAAAAAGAGCGGCAGGAAAATGAGAAGTATCTCAAAAAAGTTTTATTCAGATTTGATTTCCTGGAGCTCCGTCCCCTGACTGCTCCATCACAGGCAGCCATTGTCTCACTGAGGAGCAGAAGATGTTGAGTTGCTCAACTCGCAACATCTCGCTCGGCTTCAAAGACAGGAAGTCAGAGCTCACATTCAAAAGAATCCCAAATGATACAATAAAGTGTGTTTGAAGCACCAGGAAACCTGCTCACCCTCCTCCCACCTGCAGAAAAAACACTCTGACTGTGATGTGTCTGAGTAAAGGGTTCTGGAGTTAGTGCGCCACCTAGAGGACAAGACAGTAATGTTTCAGTGTGTTAGTGTGGGGAGCTCACCAGGGGGTGTCGCCATCCCACAACAGTGGAAGCAGACTCTGTAGTGACGCCTCTGACTTCTTACCTATTTTATTTTTACTTACCAGACCAGACATTAACAAAACTCTTTAAAAACACGAACAGATTCATTCTGACAAATGACAGATAAAGATGAATCACTCTTGTGTCACCAAGAGCACAAATACTAGTTTTATTTACACTTCTCTAAACAACCTCACAAAGTGCTTTGCAAATAAAAAATGAAATACAGCATAAAACAAACACATTGCAATGTTAAAGAAATTTTAAGAAGACCACCCTTTACAATAATAAAAACTAGAATTTGGTAAAATCAGGGAATGCATTAGTCTGTGATAAAAGTATGTTTTAAGATTTGATTCAAAGGACACTACAATCAGCCTGCCATATTTTCTCAGGTTGGTCGTTCCAAAGCCTCAGGGTCTTTAAAGTAGACAAAAAAACAAATCATTAATTAAATATATGGAAAATATACACAAGACAACCGTTAACTGTTGAATAAACCAGAAGGTTTGAAGGATGAAGCTTCTTTTTCCAGATTTTTATTTAGATTTAATCTCAAACTTGGGCCCATTGAATGCTACAATTTGATTTATGTCCTAACTGTCTCTATAGTGACGTTATTCATCCCTTTTCTTTGCTTGTAATCCTCTGCAAGTCTCCATCAATAGCGGGATATTTCTGACAGATAACAGACGGTGGGGTCTGTTGACCCCCACCATCTGAGTCAACGTGCTCCCTGTGTCACGGCACCGCCCCCAAGCAACAGCCTGTACTTGATCCAGTGTGTAAGACAGCAGCAACTATTAGTTAGCTCATAGGACCAAGGGGCACCGGTCACAAAAATCTCTCCAAACACAATTACAGAAGGTGGACAGAAAAAAAAACCTCTTTGAATTATTAAACGTTAAGTCGTCTTTATCACAATGCATTGGCTGAAAAGTCTGAGAACAGCTAACCCGGGAATCTTGCAGCTGTTTAAAAATGCAGGGATCTCCGCCAGAGCTGGAGCTGACAACATTGTTTTGTCCAGGATGCAGCAACCTGTTCCTCACCCCTGCTGGGTCGCAGCATCACCCCACACCCACAGAGCCTTTCATCAGCAGAAGGGCCCTGATGTGGATCAAGGACACTCCAAGTAGGTCACAGTAGACTGCAAATGAATAAATCAACATTAATTATCCAACATATTTTTCTGTTATTGTTCTGCATAATGTCTCAAGAATATTGCCATAAAACAAAACTGAGAAAAGTCATGATTTATGAGGCTAATGTATTATTAAAAGGCCTCTTCTGGATGTAGGCTGCATTTATTTATTTACCACCAAATGATAAGTCAAACATGAGACGTTTTACTTTTCTTTGCTGCTGACTTAATGAAATGCCTGTTTCAGTGGTAAAACACATTTTTGTTGTGTGAATGCTGACTGACAGTAGAAAAGATGTAAATACTGACAGTACTGTGTACAAACAACTGTTTTAAATTCACAACAGACACACATGTTATGATCAGCAACGTACCGGAGGTGAATACACAGGGCTGGAGCACATCACCTGCACATCAACATTTTTCATGTTTTGTTGACATAGAATTCATAGAGAATAATTCAAAATACAGGTCTGAAAAAACCTGTGTTTATAAGAACTCTGTATTTTTATTGTAATGCTATAATCATGACATTGACATTATTGATTCTCACGTCATTTAAAGTAGAGGTTAATCGCTGATGCTGATGTTTTGCACCATTTTCACTTCTGTTGACGTCAATGTCGACGCACTGCTCCTGGTTTTGACTCAAAACACTGGAACCAGCCCAAATCTACAGATCATAAGGTCGTGTTTATTTTTATGTGTTCTCCTCCGCAGAAGTAGGTTGATGTCCAGCATGGAGGACCTGCTTTTCTACACCATCACTGAAGGCAAAGAGATGATCCCCCTCCCCCAGTTTATCTCTGTGAGTCAACAGCACCTTCACAGTTCCTCTGGATCATCACACAAAACACAAAACACTCTCCCCTGCAGCTGCGTTTGATTTTTGAGAAGTGAAATAGGAGCCAGAAACAGTCATGTTACCAGCTGGATGTAGGGTCAAGTTTAAAGTTTATCTATAGACCTTCTTATGTAATGATGTTGTGGGTGTGACCCTGAGGACTGACGTACTCATCATTCCAGAACAACTTGCATTTATCACACGTTAGTTTTAACTGTGTCTGGGCTTTAGTTCCAATAATACAACAACCTCTTTAGATTAAAAGTATTTATAACAGCGAAATCAAAGGTTTACTTAGTGACTACAGTACACGCACTCACACACACGTTACCAAGCCTCTGTGAACCTATGCCACCACTATTTATATTTTATGGTCTTCCAGGGGGTCTCCAAACATCGTACCTACAGTAATTCAGAAGAACAGGACACAGTGCTCTGATAACTAAAAACCTGCTACGAACATTACTCCATCATTTAGCTTCATGTGTTGCAGCCTTTTGGCCTCAAATTAAAAAGAGAAAGACGCAGATGTGGACATCTGGTGACCTGGGTGTCTATGGTTACTGATTTTCAAAAGGAGCACGCATTAGAAGGGACGTGTGTCAACACAGGTTGCTCGCTGTTACCACACGCATGACCAGATGTGTTTGCAGAGGTGAATGGGGCAGGACATAGACAGGTAACGTGTTAGCATCCCGACCTGTCATTACCATCTATTACTGCAGTCATGTAGACTTATATCAGCCTACAACAATATTTTGTGGTAAATAATAATAAATAATAAAAGAGTTAAGCTTCACTGATTCCAGTGTCTTTGGTTAAAAGATGGGAAATTGCAGAATCTGTGTCAGGAAAATTACATGTAATTTCAGAATGTCATGGAAACAAAGAGCCAGACTGCTCAAAAAAACCTGCTCATATGGTCAGTTGAAGGATCAGTCTCTAAATTAAGCAGAGAAGTGTTGTGCATGAGCTCAGGCACAACTTCCTCATTTCCTGGCCCGAGGTTAAGAATCCCTCAACAACAGATGTCAGATGAGGGCCTGGGGCCCCTCTGGTCAGGAGGGTCACGCACATGTTGTCCCCAAAATAGACACACATGGTTCATACTGTCACTGTCCGGCTGCCGAGTGACTTATTGGAGCCATTCCAGTGACGTGCCATGTTGGCACCCCTGAGTCTTTGAAATCACTTTTCATCTCAATTTAATATCCTATAAATTGACATTACACAAAGACTGATTTGATAACGTCTCCGTCATTGATGGTTCGCCCTTCTGCCCTTGTAGTTCTCAAACCTTATTTCCTCCCTCTGCAGGCTTTGAGAAAAACAGGTTTGATGACGTCCGACCCTCGGCTGCGTGACTGCGTCAATCAGATGCGACAACACTCACGTGACTCCAATGGTCCCGTCATGATGGACAAAAAGCTCTTCAGAAGGTGATTTTTTTTTTTTTCTTAAAACAAAACTGAGAACGATTTCAAAACTAGGAGACTGATTTTAGGGACAAAGTTAAATCAAGGGTCTTTCAAAATGTTCTGTTGTGATGAGGTTATCTATGGTCATCGCTATTTGAGTCCAGGAGACTGACGGTGACAGGTGCACACATTCACATGCACACTTGCCAGCCAAAGCAGCAGAGGGAAGGGGAAGACCGAGGGTCACTGGGGCTGTTAGAGAAAGGGCATCTTTCTGGTCAAGCTCCAGGTCGTGGCAACTACACAAGCTGACTCAACAGATCTGGGGGCTCCTGCTGTCCAAACTGTATAATTTCCTAAATGACAAGTGTCATCGTTCAGTCATCATTTGGCCTGCAGAGTTACACAGACTGCTTCTCCTCGTCCAACTTAATTTTGCCATCTTCCACTCCTTTGCTTGTTTTCCTGACATTTGTGAGGTTAAATATTCCTCAAGAGTGCTCACTATAAATGTAGGACTAAATATAGAGGGGAGTATCTTCAACTTTTGTGAAGGAAATGACCCATATGAATAATGCATGCTCTCACCACTCTCCTCTCCTCATGTCCCAAAACCTCACGCTAGCATCGCCTCGGATTAGTGAGGACTGCGGGCCAGATATTTTAGTTCCGTCTGGCTGTGGCAGGACATGCATTCCTTTCCCTTAGAGCGCACGGCACTGATCAATTACAGCAATTAAAATCTATAAGTATTCAGTTTATGTAACCTGATAGAGTTTTCGTAACATAAACATTTCTGAGGCAGTACCAGTCTCAGTGGTTGAGTCAAAGAAGCTGTTGTTTGCTGACACATTGTCAGATTAAATTGCTGTTT